GCTCTTCCGATCTCCCCAAAACCCCAAAACCCCAAAACCCCAAAGAGCTCAATTAGCTCTTGTAAAATAGAATTATGAAATCAGAAATTAACTTTTAACTACTATAAAATTAAAGCGAATAATGGAAAGACGTAATCATAACAACAACGCAAACTAGCAATAGTTTTAAGAAGAGATTAATTTAAGCAGTGAGGGCAATCATAATCATAACTAAGATAGTATGGATGATGCCTAGATTGATGATGATGGTTCAGATATGGATGTAGGCCCAAACCTCGGAGATGCTTTAACTAAAAATAATTTCTAAAATAGAAATGTATTTCAAGATAAATATAAGGATAGAAGTGATCGAAAAGCTAACAACCATAATCATAACAATAAGAAAAATCCTGAACAACAATAAAATCATGAGCATCAATAACCATTGTAATCTATATTCTAGTCTTTAATGAATTATTAGAGAAAATAATGGAAATGTTTATGATGAGGAAGTTTAATAGCAATTTATACAAATGGATGAGAAAAAGAAATAAGAGTAAGTTCATTTCATTAATTCTATCCTGCTTACTGATCATAAATTTGTTGTTATAGCATTGAAGAAATATTGAAGATTGTTGGAGATCGTGATTATGCAGTTGTATCGCAAGTCTACGATGACTTATGTATTTTTAATTGAATAAATGACAATCTAATTTAGTAGGAGATTAAAACCTGATTGTAGAGTACTTGATCAATGGTCAAATAGATGAGGAAGCGCTTCGTTAAGTAGAGTAAAATAGAGTTCAAAACATGAAATCTGCATTTCAAGGATTTGATGAAGACTTCAGCAGTTAGAGATAAGATATAGCTGGTGTTGATGGTTAATATGATGACGAAGAATATGCCAGAAGGTTAATGGAGTAGGAACTGCTGAAATAATAGCTGAGAGAGCAAAGAAAAATAGAAGGATAAAGAAGAATAGAGGAGAGTATAAGGAAATAATAATCAAACTAAAGCAGAAATTCCAACCCAAATCGAAATGGAAGTCATGCCTAAAATAGTCATTAGTTAAATGGATATGAAGATCACATCTTTGATCCAGATTAAATGATTCAATCCAGCCAAATTAATGGTTAGAGAAATTCAAAGCCAGCAAGCCAAATGAATTAGCAATAAAAAAATGGCAAAAGTATATAAAAACAGGATAATAACAAAGATAAAGCTGGTGGAGGTGGAGGATTTTTAGGAATTTTCGGATGCTGTGGTTCTAAGAAGCCTAAATAAAATGATAAAAGCAAAAATGCTAAAGATAGAGAATAGAGATATATTCAAGAGGAGTCTCTAGATAATATTGATGACAATAGATAGTGAAAGAAGACCTGATTTTATGTCAATAAAACACCTATAAAGATTTTTAAGATCAAATCTATGAAATAGAATTTTAAAGCATTATGTATAATAGTTATTCTACTGCATTAGAAATCTAGTATTTTATAATTCAGAGAAATTTCAAAAGCATAATTATAATAGAGATGTGGGGTTTTGGGGTTTTGGGGGGTTTTATTGTCCATTCTTT